GCCAAATTCGACATTCAAAAGGGGCTGTTGCTACTGGCATGGCCCATAGGCCAATCGCAAATTGGCGCTTTACCAAAACCGGGAGCTAAGTATCGTGCCCGACGCTCCCAATGGTTAACCTCTGGGTTCAGCCATTAACGTACTCGGTGCTGTGGGGAAAACATCCGCTCGCTAACCATGCCAGTCATCGTGTTACTACGTAACTAAGGTGTAAGAACACTAGCCTTAAAGCCGATTTATGGAATTAAGGGTGGGATGTAACACATGTCCGTGGGAGAAGGGTTGCCTGGTCACGTTATTCTCACTTCAGAGCTGTCCAGTCATATCTGCCTGCACTCAATCCAACTAACAGAGAAGTAAAGGGAGGTATCGCAAGTCCCCTTTATTGGCTACTTTATGCAGTCAAGGTAGGGAAGCCCCTGTAATAAAACTCTTTCACATGCTTCACGGGTGGTGTAGCTTTGGTTATTACTAGCTTTCCTGTAAAACGCGAGACTGTGGTAGATGCCGAAGGCGGAGGTCAATTTCAACCCTTTTATCTGGGGCCATCACTGATTCTCCCATCCGTAGCATGTGTGCATCTTCCACCCCACTAAGGTTTATCACCCAGCAGTAGAAATCGGGGTGGATGTCCTCACACATGGGGTTTGCTTTTCGCTACGACCAATCAGCACTGGGTCTTCCACACCTGCGACTGCATCAGCGAGGATATTGGCGGTTCAAAGGTGAAACGCCTTGTCAGTCTCGATGCGGCCATGCAGCACTTCCACTACTTCTTTCCTCAGACAACCGGCACCTCCTGCAACACCGAGCGCACCAATCTCGTCAAAATGCCCAGATGCTTTTTCGCTCCACATCTGCAACAATTCGGTCCCAAGGCAGATAACATCACACCACCTCCACATTGCTGTTTCAGTGTCCCAGCTATTTCGCGATGTAAACCCAGACTTAGTCAACCAGTGGCCGTTTTGGCAGATAAACGCTAAACTGGAAAGCTGGATGACATGCTTAGATCCCCACATTCCTGTCGTTATGCAGTCCTCGTCCTCTTCTAAGTGCAGCCCCACTTGCCTGTTCGAAACGTGACATTGACTATGACCTCTTCGAGACAGTTTTTTGCATCGTCACTATGGCTTATGTCTTTCTGCCACCGGTTAGAAAGTAGTCGACCGAAATGTAGGATATTAGGAGAGGTGGCACTCCATTCACCGCTCATTTCTCCTACAGATTATCATCCCTAGGCGTTGAAGTGGCTACATATGACTATGTGGGAAATAGAATGGATACTTGAGAAATAAAAGCGATGCGGGAACAGGAGGAGGGAGTCGTATGCTTTTTCACGTCTTTGCAAGGCGAAACTGCTGGGGATGTCTGAGACGCCGGAAATTACACCTCTCTTCCAATTTTTGTAGAAATATTTGTTCAGAAGTTGAGCCTACAGACATTTGAAAAGGTTGCTTGATTTGCGCTTTTGTTGAGTCCTTCCCATTGGTCGATGTCACATAGAGCCAACTTATGCGTACAAATACTCACTAATGGGTCAAGGTCATTCCAGGTGCTACTGTAGCGCCCTGAGACTTCATTGAAGATGACGGAAGACATAGTGCTCGGGCAGAATAGCCAAATTCGACATTCAAAAGGGGCTGTTGCTACTGGCATGGCCCATAGGCCAATCGCAAATTGGCGCTTTACCAAAACCGGGAGCTAAGTATCGTGCCCGACGCTCCCAATGGTTAACCTCTGGGTTCAGCCATTAACGTACTCGGTGCTGTGGGGAAAACATCCGCTCGCTAACCATGCCAGTCATCGTGTTACTACGTAACTAAGGTGTAAGAACACTAGCCTTAAAGCCGATTTATGGAATTAAGGGTGGGATGTAACACATGTCCGTGGGAGAAGGGTTGCCTGGTCACGTTATTCTCACTTCAGAGCTGTCCAGTCATATCTGCCTGCACTCAATCCAACTAACAGAGAAGTAAAGGGAGGTATCGCAAGTCCCCTTTATTGGCTACTTTATGCAGTCAAGGTAGGGAAGCCCCTGTAATAAAACTCTTTCACATGCTTCACGGGTGGTGTAGCTTTGGTTATTACTAGCTTTCCTGTAAAACGCGAGACTGTGGTAGATGCCGAAGGCGGAGGTCAATTTCAACCCTTTTATCTGGGGCCATCACTGATTCTCCCATCCGTAGCATGTGTGCATCTTCCACCCCACTAAGGTTTATCACCCAGCAGTAGAAATCGGGGTGGATGTCCTCACACATGGGGTTTGCTTTTCGCTACGACCAATGTGGCACCCCAAGACTTCTTTGAAGACGAAAGAAGACATACTACTCAGGCGCAATGCATATATTCGACACACGGAAGAGCTCGAAGCCACCGCTATGACCTGAAGGCGAGACACAATGGCCGAGACAAT